TGTAAAAAAAAAAAACCAAGACATGATACTTTGGAAAAAGAAAAAATCAGTATTCTTAACATTTATATCAGTCAAAGATTGCAAAGTTTCCAGGATATTATAATTATATAATAATAATTATTATTATTATAAAAAATAAAAAAACTAAAAGAAGTTTAAGTGATACTATTCACTCACCGTAACGCTAGGCTCATTATCCCTATTTATCAATTTTTTGTTGTTTCTTGGTCTCTTTTTCTTTGAGAAATGAATTAATTAGTCTATTTGATTTGAAAACTAAGTTTTTTTTTTTTGTCATTTTCATCATTTTACTATTTTTATTTTTTTGTTTTAAGAAATAGAAAAAAATAAAAAAATAATACTTTGAGAAATAAATTAATTATTTCCTTTGGTTTGAAAACCAGCCTCTCTTTTTCTTCTTTTTTTTTTTTTTTTTTTTTTTTGTTTTCCTTTTGAGCATGAGTCGTTGAACTTCACTATAGCATTCCCCCACCCCCACTTTCAATATTTGGAGAACTATCTATTATTATAGTTAATAATTATAATATATTATCATTATATTTAATAAAAAATAGTAGTGTTTTTTTTTTTTAACGTCCGACCTCCTTTTTTTTCTTTTTTAGTTTCTATATTTGTTGGACTATTATTATATAATCAAATATATTATTTAGGTCCTTATTTATTAGAAATATATATATTTTTTAGATAATAAAATTATTTATAGTTAATAAATATAATACATTATCATCATATTTTACAAGAAATATCAAATAATTATTACAAAATAGTTATTTTTATTTTGATTGTGAATATTGTATTTATGCAATGCTTTTTTATTTTTTTTAACGTCCGGCCTCCTTTTTTCTCTCTCTCTTTTTTTTTAGTTTCTATATTTGTATTAAATATATTAGTTAGGTCCTTATTTATTAGAAATATATTTTTTAAAATAATAAAATCATTTATAGTTGATGATTATAATATATTATGATTATATTTTACAAACAAAATATCAAATAATTATTATAAAATAATTATTTTTATTTTGATTGTGAATATTGTATTTATTATAAAATATAATATTTTTTTATTATTTTAAATTATGATATAAATAATATATTAATATATTATTTTATGAATTTGAATATATATAACAATTGATAAGTATTTTAGTGATATAATATATTTGATAATTATACCATATAATTAAATTAATATTACATTGTATTAATTAAATATTATTTTAAATATATTGGTATAATAATATAATATTTATTAATAAATAATTTATTTAAATATCAGATGACAATTATTCCCCTTCTATATAAATAATTTATTTTTATATTTTTTTAATCATGAAATTAGGTGTGAAATAATATATATATATATATATATATAAAAAAAGATCATTAGTTTTTTTTATTTTAAGTATAGTTTGACAATAATAGAATATAGATGATATTTTTTAAAATTTTAGTTTGAACATATATATCCGATTATATTATTTTTATTATTTTAAATTTTTTCTTCAATTGTTTGTTTCTTATTAAAATTCTTATCGAGTTAATTTTTAAATTTATTTGATTTTATTTGTTAATAAATTTTATTTTTTTATATATGGATTTTGAAATAAAATTTTAGAACCCGATTGTTTTATTTTTTAAATATATTATTATTATTATTTATATGATTAATTATTTTTATGATTTTTCAATGAAAATGATATTGTTGCATATATAAATTCGATAAGAAAGAGAGAGCTAGAAGTGTATTTTACATATTATAATTATTCTAAAAAAACTAAAAAAAAAGGTGGTGTTTTCCTGTTTATTTACCGTAAATTTTTATTTATTTATTTATTTATTTTTAGTGCTGGCCTAGAGAAGCGGGCTCCAGCAGCCTAGCTTGGCTCATTTCACCGTGGTTTTTTTTTTTTTTTTTAGGATTGGCTTGGCCTTTATTGCATTTATTGCATTTCTTTTTTTTTTTTTTTTTTTTTTATGAGGTCGGCCTCGAGAAACGGGTTCAAGCGAGCCTACACAAGTAGTCCCAACCAACGTTTACCTTCTTTTTTTATCATGAAATTAGGTGTGAAAATGTAAAAAAGATCTTTATTTTTTTTAGTTTTACTTACAATTTTATGGTAATATATATATATAATATTTTTAAAAATTTCAGTTTAAACATATATATCCGATTATATTATTTTTATTGTTTAAAATTTATTTCTTTAATTGTTTGTTTCTTATTAAAATTCTCATCAAATTAATTTTTTAATTTTGCATATTTTTTATTTGTTAATAAATTTGATTTTTTATGTAAGGATTTTGAAATAAAATTTTAGAACTTGATTGTTCTATTTTTTAAAATATATTATTATAATTTATACTATTGATTCAAGCAAATGCTATACAAGTTAAATGATCATATATAATTGATCCCTTCACTAGGAAAGAAAACATATATATTATTGATTCCTTCAATGTCTCTAAACCAATATTAATTTATTTCTTCAATTATTTGTTTCTTATTAAAATGCTAATTAAATTAATTTTTTAATTTTTTGATATAATTTTATTGTTAATAAGTTTGGAATTTTGGAATAATATTTTAGAATGTCAATGTTTTATTTTTAAAAATATATTATTATAATTTTAAATAAGTGTTTTATTTTTTAATATATATATATATATATATATATATATATATATATATATATATAGAGAGAGAGAGAGAGAGAGAGAGAGAGAGAGAGAGAGAGAGCTAAAAGTATGTTTTAGATAGTTTGACTCAATTTAAAAAAAATAACGAGTTAAAAAAATTCATAAGTTTTATTTTCTTTTTTATATATATTTAATTAAAATTTATCGAATCAGTTTTTTTATTGTTTTTATGTTAATCTATTAGCTTCAATATATTTCTACAGTTTAGGCGTTTTTTTTTTCTATTTATTCTATTAGTTTTGTTAGAATATATATATATATATATATATATATATATATATATATATATATATATGCACGATTTATATTAATTAATAAAAATAAAACTTTCGACTTACATTACACTATATGAATCGTTAACCTTATGTATGTAACGATTGTCTACCCACAGCGTAGCGTGGGTATCCATCTAATTGAGACTAAAATATTATATACCCTATAAATTTAGGGAAATACGTCTTATTCAAATGCCTGTTTCTATAAGTAATAGTGCTTAGTATAATCTTATCATGATTACCACAGTCAACAGCCTCCATTAGTGATATAGCATCAGATGAATTGGAGGAGGCGGCAAAAGTAATTCCTTCTCATAGTTTTTGTTGTTCATATGCTTAGTAGGCTTTCCGAATGCTATTCTGAAGTCTACATGAGAGATATAACATTCCATTGCAGGTTCCAAATTCAGTAATTGATTCCAATTGGAGCTTGATGAATCTCAGCAGACAAGTAACAACTTAGGGATGAATTTGTACTAGAGGATGCTATGCTTAGTAGAAGATGGTGCAAAATCGATATAACTTGATCATACTAGATCAGCTGTCATTGCCTTTTCTGGTATATATTTCTTATTCAGAGAGCTTGTATTGTGTTTAGATATATTGTGGCTGCTAGCAGCCTTGACATAATGTGCTTGCTTTTAGATGTTTTGAGGGACTAATAGTTGTTAAGAGTCAGCTCTGTCAAATTTGGAGTTCTTCATGATTTCTGACAAAAGCAGGCCTTTCTATACACCAGGATGAGTGATTGACAGGTTTTCTACACGACAATGACCAATAGATTTCCCTTTTTCCTATTTGTGCATTTTATTCTTTTATATTTTTCATTCTGTCACTTTAGCTTTAGTTGAACATAGTGTGTGGTTTCTGGATTAGTTGTTTCATTTATCCTGTATTGAAATGTTGCTCTTATCAGGGGCAAACTTCAACTAGAAGTCCCAACCCATTCATGCTAGTTTTGTTCTGTAACATCTTCTGGCAATAAATAAAGAAATATATTTTGGTTTGCTAAAGTTGATGCCTACCTAAGATCAGTGAGGAGTCTAGAGTACTGTTGATGTCTACCTAAAATCAGGAGCAACATGGATTAAGTGATACACAACAGAATCATTAGTGCACAACATCTTACACGAAAATGTTCAGTCCCTGATAAAATTGAATAAACTAAATGAAAACCCCTCTTACTGATGGAGGTTAAATGAATCACGTGCAATGATTTGATAGGTTGATTGATGCAAGAGAGGCAACAAGCAAAATCTCCATGGATTCTATGTAGAAAAAAATGCCAATCACTTAATGAAAAATATTGAATGACATCTTTATTCATTAGGAAGGATACTTGAGAAATAATCTCCAGATTTTGGGGCATATTCTGTAGGTGGCATCCAAGTACTCTTCCTAGCTTTTGTATTGAACAAGTTCTTAATTAGGGAACAAAAAAGTTCAGGCTTTTTGTTGTATCCGTGTTTCCTGGTTTTTGACCTAAGAAATTTTTGACATGTAAGCTTTTTGACATTACTTGGGAAAAGGTTTTGGAGCAGTGGCTCTTAGCTTTACTTTGACGGTGGTGGCTTTTTCTCATCACTAGCAACCAATACCATCATAACTGTTAGCTTTAGTTATTTACTGGGGAAAAAGGATTTAAGATCTACCTTTTTTATTTAAGTGGCAAGCCTTTACTTGCAGTTGTAGTTAAAGTGCCCCATGGAATAATTCTGTCCTAGTTTGTTCTCATTCTTCCTTTCCTTTAGTTGTTCCTAATGTACGTAGTTGCCAATTTGCCATGCAATTATCATTATGTCTGCCATAGGTGAGAAAAATGCATTTCTTTCATAATGACTAAAACGCCCAGACTTACTTTCCTCGACTTCTAATCTCTAAGTAACGTATCTTCTTGTGATCTTGTCACCTGTATATAGCCATTGGATGATTCTCCAACTTTGCATGGTGTATTTATTCTGGCGAAAAACATGTTTATTAATTTTTTACTTTTGTTTTTTGGTCTTCATTTTGTTCTGATTGAGATCCCATGAACTTTCTCATTTTCTGTTAAGTCCTTGAAACAGATGCCGTTTGAGATCTCTGTGGCTGGATGACTGTAGCGGTACCTTTGCTGCTTGTTGGTCATAATGATGGATGGTAGATACTTCTGTTCATAAGTAGGCATCCCATTAAATTCATGACCTCCTAATCCTACAAAACCAGTACCATTTCCTTGATAATCTTCACGACCCATCATAAATGCAAAATCATCTCCCAATCTGCCACTACCAGCAAAATATCATCATCCATGTACAAGTTTCCCATTCTTGTTGCTGCCACCAAATTCTGACCCCTCCCTGCATTCATAGCTTTCAATGCTACATTTGGTTTTAGATAGTCTCCATAGCTCCTCATAGATGGGTTAGTGTCATCGTCAGTGGATGCTGGATGCATGAATTGGTTTTGAGTGGCATGGAAGTTATCGGTTAGAAACTGCAGTTGGTTTGAGTTGGGTTGTTCTTGATAGAGTTTTTATAACATAAATGGTAAAAGTGGGGCTGCAGTTGCTGCTGCAATAAAGGTTGCGAAGATGTAAAAGGGTTTAGAAACTGATGATTTTCTATTTTCTTATTTGTTATATTAGAGAGCTGTCACTCCATCCGATTTGAAAGGCAAGTCAGGGTAATCATCCATGAAAGTATCTGAAGATTTATTAAATGTCATCAAAATATACGTAGAAAACAAAGTTGATAAGAAATTACACAACAAATGAAAACAAAAATGAAAGAAAAGATAAAAGAGCACAAATCCAATTTGCATCAAGAAATAATGCTATCAGTCCTGCGTAGCTCCAAAGTTTGAACTCAGAGTCTAAATGTGAATCTTGAGATGTTCAAGACGTTTGCTGTAACTACTCAATCCTCAAAAGATGCTAATAGCGCATCAAATATAGGGAATCAAATGAGGAATTCTCATTCATGGAGCAACGATCATAATATCTAGGTATTACTAATTTTTATTTCTGTTATTTGATAAAAACACAAGTTCAATTATTGCAAATTTTGTATTTTATTGCTAATAAATATTTTTTCCTAAAATTGCAGGTTGCTTAGTGTTATGAATTACTTGAATTTGGAAATCAACTACTAGACTTGTTTAGTAGGAATTTTGAATTTTTTTTTCAAATATTGATATTTTGTTGTGTTTTTTAATGTTTTTTTTAGATATTTGAATTATTATTTTTCTTGTAATCGGTTACGTAATCTTTATAATTATGTTAAGAAATTTCTTAGATTATTACTTTTCTTGTTATTAATTAATATTTGAAATTATTTTTTAAAAAAATTATTACGAATACATCATAATTATTCTATTTGATTAAAAATTTACTACAATTAGGAAAAAAATTGATTGCAATAATATTGTAAATTATTGTATTAAATATTTTTCTAAAACAATGCTATGATAAATAGTCTGTATTACAAATAGAAAGAGTTAGTTTTTATATAAAAAAACCATTGCATTTAAACAACCAAACCGCTACATAGTACAACATAAAAACAACTACTAATTACTACAAACCGTTGCATAATATATTATATAAATCATTGCATTAGATGATTTAAAACATTGCATAAAACATGCCAATAACCATTACATATATTATAAAAATTGTTACATACGTTTTGATTTAAATTGATGCTAGATTATTCTATAAACCGTTGCCTAAAGTAACAAGGAAACCGATACAATTGAGGGTTATTATGCAACGAAACATGTTTCGTTGCTATTGTATATGGAAATTGCTACATTAGTCTATTGCAGCGTTAGTCGAATGTAACAGTCGGCAAACCACTACATTAGAATTAATGTAGCGCTTTTATGTTATTTTGCAGCGGTTTTTAGCCATTGCATAAGGCTTCATATGTGGTAGTGATTTATTACATGCTTTGTGGAATTTTTGGAATGAATTCCTAGCTTAAGGATTTTTTATAAAAATAATGGCATTAAATCTTGGTTTAATGATCACTATTTATGGATTTTTTTTTTCTAATTGAATATAATACATGATAATTAAATTATTTTTGGGATAAAATTTAATATCAAATATTCCTACCTTATTGTATGGAATATTTGAAAATGAAATAATTCTAAATTAAATTATATATGAATTTCTAAAAGGAATTTAAGAAAATTAAGAAATATGGTTCAACTTATTTTAATATAAAGTCTTTTATTAAAATGATAAATTTGGATTTCAAGGATATGAATTTTTTTTTATCAAAATATGACATTTAATATTTATATGCATAGTGCGGGAATATTAATTGATGTGAGTTGAATTTTTGAAAAAGTTTAGACCTAAATTTTATTTAAGGTGGACTTATTATTTAATATTTATTAGAGACCTCATACAAGAATTGCTCACTTTGCTAATAAATTAAAAATGTTAAGGGAGGAGGTTTGTTAACTTGCATTTATTGCACTCTTAATGTAAATTAATACCAATAATATCCTCAACCTATTTAGGTCATAAGTCGAGGGTGTTACAAGTGTTGTCAACGTTGTGATTAGTATAATCATTGTTGCAAATAGTTGAGTTAGTAAAAGGATTGATGTTCTTTTTGGTGGTCTTGAAAGGGGGTCATTATTCTTCACAATTACTAACTCCTTTTGGACTTGCCAAAATGTATAGAAGGTTCTCGAGAACCGATCGGATGACCAACCTACAAGTCAATCAAGATGTAGAGAGCTAGTGTTGTGACTTATAAAAATAACGATCAAATAACTAAGCAAAAAAGATACAAATAATGAGAGGCATGAGAGGAGAAACAAGCGAGTGCTAGCAAGTTGCGAGTCAAGTGGTCGGTAAGTGGGTAGTTAAAATCCAAACAAATGAAATTTTTGGTGTTGTTTGATGTGTGAGTGGAAAAGCTTTGAAATAGAGAATTTAGGAGTTTCTTTTGTCAAAGATCAAAAGTTATGAAGTCAAAAGTTTTTAATACAAAAGTTTTTTTCTCCTTACAATGATGTGAAGTTAGTATTTACGGTGAAAGAATATAATTTTTTATCGCTAAAATCATGTCACATCATCCAAATTTAGACAACTAGATTTAGTTTGAAGAATTTAGGTTATTTAAGTTAAACTCGTTTCAATTTGTTAGCAAATACTAAATGAAGTTACAATTGGATCTTCTTTTAATGTTCTTACTTTAAGCTAATAAAGTCAATTTTTCTAATACATCTCAATGGTAAGTTATAGACAATAGCCCTACCGGAATGCTCGCGTCCATCATTGTAACACATGACCATGCACCGAGTAAGGCATCTCCTTAAACCAATCCATTTGTCAAGTCTCGGTTCCATGTAAAAAATCAAGAAACAAAATAACATAGATTAACATATAATAAAATTTAAGTTAATTAATTTTTATAAACGAAGAATGATTTACTAAATTATATTCTTTTGTTTGGTTGTAAAAGTTGTAGTAACGTAACATTCCACCATTTCCATTTTATTCCTATATATATATATATATATATATATATATATATAAGTCACTTTAGTTTCTGTATTTTATTTTATTTACACATAGGTCCTTCGGAATTTTTTGTCCTTATATTTTTGTAAAATAATACAAATAAAATTGCAATTAGATCCCTGCTTTTTTTTTTTTAATCATATAATGGTTTCATTCCATAGCATTTTCTATGTAAAGCTCACTACAAGCTGACAAATCATTTCAATTGTAATAATCTATTCCATTACATTTTTGGAAATAATAAAATCAAGCATATGTGTTTTACATTTTATGATTTATTACCTCATAAAAAATACGCCATTAATTACTTTCAAGGATGGAAGAATGTTCGCTATAAATGGCCTGCTTGGACTTTGATTTGTCAAGCCCGAAAAGTTTTACGATCAAGAAAGGAGCTTCAGGGCGTGGATCATGAATATGTCTATTACAAAGGGCTCGTTCTAGCCGTTGACACCAGCTCCAGGAGCAAGGGGGAACACCCTAAATGCTAAGACAAGGGATTCGTAGAAGAAAAAGAAATGGGATTTTTGTTTCAAGGTTTCAGGTTTAGGTCTTGGGAGGAATGAGTCCGAATTTAGAGATGGAAAGGCTGCCTTCCAATATGCAGCGTTCGCCTCCCGGATGTTTGACAAGTAGAGAGAACATGAGTAACTTTATATCTAGATCATTAGACTTGTTTAAGCTATGCGATTCAATCACAGATGAGAAAGTTTTCATCTTTCAAGCAGCAGCAGGGAGGCATCAAATTTAACCCATCCGAACTCTTGATACACGAAGAAAATATAAACATATAGATAGATCAGTGAACATCTATGGACTAAACGATTGCACTTATTATTCACGATATAAATCTTATTGAATACGATTTGCAGAACTTACTAGTATTTTTTTTCCCCTGGTAAGTAACCGTACACTAAAGAGGAGCTGTAGAATGATAAAAACATGTCATTTTGCAACCTGTCAAGCAAGTCATCTCATAAGCAGCATGAGCAGCTCTGGTTTTTCAATTAACTGTTTCCACTCATTGCAAAATTTTGCAACAGTCGCCCCATCCAAAACTCTATGATCTGCACCTATGTTTACCTGAGAAAGAAGCATGTCAGAGTGGCAATGAAAAGCCATATAGCGCCAGAGCTTTTAACTCAGCAAGTGTGGTGTATAATTTTAGCCCTTTTTGTCACGAATTCTATAATCGTTAGAAATTGCATGCTGACTTTATAATAAGACTGTCCTATACAATGGACAGTGTTTTACTTTTCCTCGAGAATGATGTGCTAAGATATAGTAGTTTATTTCCAAAATAATGAGAAAATAAATATAATGCAGTATATCCCATGGTCATTTGGAAGACACTGTTAGCTTTTATGACTATTCTGAAGCAAATAAAATAGTACGAAGTAATTGAAACATTGCTTACCATCATAACTGATATAGGATATGCATTTCCATCATCTGCAAAATGAGCCACTTTCTGAATTCGGCCAATAGCAATAATTGCCACTTCAGGCAAGTTGAGGATGGGAGCACCAAACTTCCCACCAATTGCTCCAATGTTACTTAGAGTTATTGTTCCACCAGTTATATCCTCCGGGTTAAGCTTATTAGCCAAGGCCAATTGTTGCAACCGTGAAAGCTCCTTTGTTATCTAAATACATAGGTGGACATTGTCAACAATCCCAGAATAAGGGAAAAAATATACAGAAAGTGTTTGAGAAGAAGTACACCTGAAAGTAAACACATTGAGAATAAAATATGAATTATTTTCCAAAAAGAAAAAATTAGGCACTGTGTCATTCTTGCCTATGCTTGTGGGTGATCCTAATTGCAAGCATGCATATAAAGCAAGTTGGAACCTTTAAAAAAAAATATATACTGGTTTCAATCTGAATTCATGTGTTTTAGAACATTCTAACACTCTCACTATCAAATCAATCGGGTTATATTTAACTATTACGTGTGAAAAGAGCAAAGTTTGAAGTCAAACTCAATATTATGAAATCCGATTGTATTATTTGAACACAAGCAAGAAGCTGCCTGCAGTCAAACAGAGTGGAATAGAAGATAGTTCCATATGTAAGTAACACAGGAGTCAATGAAACTAACCTCCAAGATGGAAAGAGACTGAACATTCTTTATGTTGGGTACAACTAGACCAGATGGAGTAGCCATAGCAATTCCAATATTGTGGGAACCTATGACATTCATCAGTTATTCTGACCATAATTAGATTAGAAAAGAGGGTCAAGGGTATCAATAAGAATATTCAACATAATCCAACCAACATACTGATCAACAGATCTCAAAAAAGAAATGATTATTTTACATCAGAAATAGCAATTCTTCCCTCGAGAGGAAATATAAACACGTGCACATACATCCTTATAGAACCAAACGTAGGGCGTCTGCTGGATACACCCATCTCATATGGAAGTAAGATAATTTATATTAGTTTTACAAGCAGTCAAACCAGTAAATCTGTTGTCAATCTATAATATATAAATGTTTCTCTCATTTGAAACTTTTTGTTGACAATGGATCTAATTCCAGCTTTGTCAGATCTCAATAGACTTGCATAGAACACAAAAATTACCATTCTAAATCACATTGATCAGACATGCTTTCATAAGCAAGAATCATACTGCTCATATACTGGAAAACCTACTGTAAATAGTTGTTTTCTACCAATCAATGAACATGTGCCCATCAGAAAATAGAAGCAGTGAACAACGTTACAGCAGCAAAGAAGAATAAATCAACAAACCTTTCAGGATGACCTCCATTGAGTCCTCATTGAAGCAACTATTAATCCATGGATATTTGCTCATTGCCACTGAAAGTGACTTTATCAGAGATGGTAGGAAAGTATGCTTCACACCTGGTTCAGTATTATCATTTTGGAAACTTTCTTTAAGCTCCACTAATGCATCACAATTTATCTCTTCTACATAATGGAAATGTGGAACTTTTGCAGCCATAGACATTGTTTTCACCATTGTGCGTTGGAATCCCCTGGAAAAAAAAAATAAATAAATAAAAGAAAGCAATTATTTTTCCTGAACTCTAAATTTAAAGTGGTTTGGCTTCTAAACACAAATTCTTTAAGAATTCCTAGAGCGTGTAATTGAACAAATATCTGTCCAGTGAGAATCCACTAACACAAATGAGTTTTAGGGGGAAGGGGAGTGAGATTTTGTTCTTAAGGTAAGGGGTTAGACTTCACAATAAAGGATTTGGTTTTCAAAGTATAAGGAGTACTAAAAAAGATCAGGGGTTTTGCAGTAAACAGGTTTAGGATTTCACAGCATCATTTTGGCATTTAAAATTAAAGGCTATGATGTCTCATGGTACAAGATTTAAATTATGGGTGTTCTTCCATCCAATGTAAAACTATATCTTAGACCATTGAATTCACAAGATGTGTCTGATTTTTCTATATACAGTTTCTAAGTAAAAGAACTTCATTTGTAGGTATCCAACAATCATTTAACACAACTACACGTACATATGTGGATTTCTAAATGTTGCTTGTAAAATTAAGTCTACAGCTAGAACCTGTAAACACAATCTCATAAGCAACTTAAAAATAAAAGCTATTACACAATCTATGCATGTATGAACTTTTAGGCGCACCTATTCACAATACTAGGCAATAAAAAATCCAAACCAGCATATGCTTGATATGGTCTGAAATCAAAACCGTGGGCGGAAAATGGCTACGACTGACTGGCTTATGGCTTGGATACCAATCAATTGACCTACCATTATGATTACAATGATAAAGGAAGTTAACACCTTTGTAACATAAGAAGTTGTCATGTCATTCTAATCCTATCATTCTTCTGAAAATTTTGGTAATATTGTGAATAATAAAATGCTAAGGAAAGTAGTTTTGAATATTCCTGCCCTATTTATTTGAAAAATAAAAATAGAAAAAGGGTTTTCAGTTCACATTAGTATATAATATTACCTTAGGGGAACTGTCTTATCATCATGTTGCGATCCTAATTCTGCTGGCACATATTGGTACTCTTCGCCTCTCAAAAATTGATCTCCAGAATCAGCATTATCTAAGCCAGAGGAATCTTTAATGATTCCTTTCTGAATAGCATGTTTAAGTATATCTTCTTTTAATAACCTCCCATCTTTACCAGTTCCATGGACATCATTTAGATTTATATCATATTGCTTTCCAAGGTATCGCACAGCTGGTGTTGACAGGACTCCACCAGTTTTACTCTTCTTTGCCTCACCCTCAGAACAATGAGAGCTAATGTTTTCAGTAACATCATGTTTCTGCATTGGAACTTGAGCTCCCTCAACTACCATTTTGAGAAGAGTCTCTCCGACCTGCAATATTGCCGTTGCCCTTATTCACACAGATCATATGTCACCAGAAATTCAAAATATCAATACACATGCACAAAAATTGTAATGGTATTTTTTTTTATTTTCTCCTTCTTCCATAACTAATTTCAAGTTCATGGCAACCCCCTACATTGTGCAAAGCACACCTTCTTATCTGTTGGTTCCCTTGAGAAATGGAGCCAGCTCTGGCATTGTGGCCCGTATTAAGTTCACACAGGCATGTGCCAGTGTTACCCAGCCTGGCTAACAAAATAACAATATGCTTCATATGTTCTAAAAATTCTATTTGTTTGACATAGTTTCAAACTGAATTCCAACTGATTCTTCCAACTGATTCCCAAATCATGTCTCCCACTTCCTGAAGGTCGGTAATTTCATCTTTAGTATCCTACACCATTTCTCACAGGCAAACCATATAGCAAAATGCATACAGACGAAATTCATAAAATTGAATTATTATTAATCTACAAATGTCAACATGCTTTCCTCACCAAGCCAATGAGCAGTAAATCACTAAATTCTCACCTTTACAATATCTCCTGGAACATAGAGAAATTGAGCAACTTTTCCTTTGTAACGACTCGTTATCTCAATAGTCGCTTTGTCACTCTGTACTTCACACAGTGGTTGAAATTCTTCAACTTCATCCCCCTACCACAACAACAAGCACAGTGTCATCTTTCCTACAATTTACAAAAACAAATTCAAACCCGCCAAACTGATGACATTAAAAACGGCAGCAAGTCACAAAGTTCTCAAAAACAAACAATGAAATTTGCAACTTTATCAATGACTGTTTCATTCATTCAATTACCTCTTCCACAAACCATTTGAGGAGTTCACATTCAGCAATACCTTCACCAGTTTGAGCTAAAGGCACGTCAACAATTCCACTGCTAGTCCCCACATCAGCCAAAGCTTGACTTGAAAACAAACAGCAACCCACTTTATCACTATAGTCAATCTTGATCTACAAAAAATTAAAAAGAAGGAAAAAACCAAACCCAATGATCATTTAACAAATTTCACCAAAACATAGCAATTAACAAATTATATAAGCTTAAAGAGTCACTCACGTTGATAGAGTTACTGGCGTAACCAGTGAATGAAATTTTGTGGGCCGTTAATGGAGACAGAGGTGGAGATTGAGGAGTAGTTTTAGTATATGGGTAGAGAAATCGTGGGGTGGAGCTCGAAGCCCGTTTATGCCAAATCCTTCTGACAATCATCATTGATGAAGTGTTTGCTAATCCCTTGGAAAAAATGAGAGAAATTTTTGTTGTTTGTTTAAGAATGAGGACAAGACAAGTGGGGTTTTATGGGGATTATTATTATTATTATTATTATAAGATTTTGAGTAATCCCTTGTTTTGGATTAAGATTTGGTAGATAAGATTGAGACCTACCTTTAGATGTGTCTGACGGAATTCCAACTGATAGATATCAACGGACTGCCTCAATCTTAATTTTCAGGTAAGGCATCAGGGTGTTAAGAAGGACAACAAAAGCGCCTTCCTCTAAAATTTGAATAAATTTATCTATATTTCTTTATTTATAATAGCGTGATTTATTAATCTATTATTATGTTTTTAATTACATCTAAATAATGTTTATATATCTAATAAGTATTTTTATCAATTTTTCAACTATAGGTAAGTTTTTTTATCAATATATATATATAACTTAAAATCACATCATCAACATGTTCTATTTCTAAAAATTTTAAAAATTATTATTATTATTTTGCATTTGAGCCTAGAGCATTTCAATAATAATAATAATAATAAATTATGGTTAAAAAAATTAATCCCATAAATCGATTAGAAACTTAAACAATATTCAATAACATGTTAGGTGCAATAAAAAGCATAAAAATAGTTTGAAGACACATTATTGTATAAGAACAAATTGACCCTTCGAATTTTTGTACCGATCTAAATTAATAGTAAAGTCTAGCTAGTTCTAGAATCAATCTTATAGCCTCGTTTAAGAAGGTATTTTGAACTTTAATTTTTATTATACACTACCAAAATAAGGGGATTTAGCGATGGTTAAACCATGCTAAAATTTAAAGGAACGTCGCTAATATTTATTAGCAAAGGTTTAGTGACGGTTTAAAACCATTCGAAAAAACTTCATCACTAAATCTTTAGCAACGATTTTCTTGTATACCGTTAGTAAATTAGCAATTGTAAATCGGTTATAATTTGTCGCTAAACAATGAAATAAGGTCAAGGATTTAGCGATGGTTTTGTTAAAATGTCGTTATATCCATCGCCAAATATGGACAATTTAGTGACCATTTTTTTAAACCATCGCTAAATCCGTCTATAATTAGCGACACTTTTTGCGACTTTTTCAAAAAAAAAAAAAAAAAAACCATCGCTAAATGTGAGAAAATATTACATCTTTTTTAACGACGGTTTAATTTTTTATTTTTTTATATTTTCAATTATTTATTTGATCGCTAATAAGAAAAATAAAATTCATTTCAATTTAAAAACTACAATAGTGCTATGAAACAAATTTATAAATATTACAAAACCTTTATAATGTATAAAATTCAATAAAATGAAATATATATTCAAACACTAAATTATTTTAAAGTTTATTAATATTTTAGAAAAAAGAAAACATTAAAATGGTAAAAAAATTATATTGTGATGAAGGGGATACCTTTCATGAAATATCATCATTTTCATCGGACATCTAATGGTTAATCGGAGAATCGATGGATGAACTCGCCTCTTTACATATTCTGCTACATCATCGCATGTCGCTTACGAGTATATTACTCCAATCGATTTGTAGTAGCTAAGAGTGATGTAATAGTATTCTCTAGTTTCTCGATCCTTTACGCTTGTTTAGAAGGATAAGCCTCTATTTCCTTTCACTATGCCTCAATATCGACATGAAAGCGCAATGTAGGCGAACCGGAAGAGGTACTAACATTAGAGTAATAGTCGGAGGCTTGTGACTCGAGTCCATACATCCTTTTCCTCTTCCTTTTAATATCTCCTCTCTAATAGCCTTCTTAAAAATGCGGTTCATGTCGATGTCGGGCGATGAAGTACCCTCCGTCTCCCGACTAGCAACCTTTTTCTCAAATATTTTTTCGACCTCTCTTACATAATTACAAAAAGTTTAATATTAAATAGTTATCTCAATAAGTTATATAACGGTAACTTATGTATACAATAACCTTATAAATTACTTACTCCAAGAATTCTTGTCCGATGATCGATTGATACGTACTTATCATCAACCTTTTCCCCGTAAGTCTTCAAGAAAACCTCATAAACGTCGAATTCATGACCTAACTCATTATGTTGAAATAAATATACTTAAATGTTTATTGATGTTGCAATAATTGTATATAAAAGATAATATACATATATATACATATATATGTACATATATACATATATATACATATACATATACATACATACATAGATATATGTATATGCGGATATATGTATATATGTACATATATCTATGTATATGTATATGTATGTGTATTTATATACATATACATATATATGTGTATATATATACATAGATGTGTGTGTGTGTGTGTGTATACATATATATATAGTATATATGTGTGTGTGTGTGTGTGTTTGTGTGTGTGTATATATATATAATAAGATTTACAATGCATATTGTGTGTTCCTTGTAGCTGATCGAAACTCCCGTATGTCTAGATGGGTCATCTCTAATGCCACCTATCTCGCTCTTGCAATTCGGGCCTCCAGCTCGGATTGGGTATGAGATTTAGGTTTTGCATATTCCTTATGCCATGCATCCCATATCTCCTGTGAGATATATGTTGGTTTAGGATGTTTCTTTACGTATTAAAGGAATTTGGAATATCGCTTCCATGCCGGACGCGGTCGTGCTTTCTTTATACTTAGCTTGATCTCATACTCCCACTTAAAAGACTTCTACAAGAACGTTAAAAAAGTTTATTTATACATTTAAATGAACATTAATTTTCTTAATTGAAATATACGGTAACATAATAAATTAAGCTAAAAACTAACCTTAACTCCCCCAATATAACTCTTTAGTTTGCTCACTAATTGACTTCCATGTCAATTTGAATATTTCAATATGCTCATGGAATGTCTTAAAGATATAATGAGTGCGGTTATTAGAAGGACACAAGTCGTCAAAAAAGACATGAATTAACGAGTTAAATGAATGTATAAATATAACAATATACCAAAAAAAGAAAGAAAAAATTTAAAATATGCATAATACATACCCCTTGCTAGCAACGACGAGTAATTGCAATCCGAAGATCAAACGTAGATCTAATAAGTGCAAAAGCTGAACGAGGAAGAGATGTTTGGCGACGAGCCATGTTCAAGAACATGATAGTCATCCTGTTGGGATGAGGGCCCTAATGACAATGAAGTTCATATGGGCCGCCGTGGGGGAGGGGTAAGAGAAGGTCTATAATAATGTGACTCAAGTTGAGACATATTAAATGGTGATTGGTTTGACACGATGGTAATGGAAGGTATATGGTATGTAGACAAATCGATGGGGGAGGGGGACATCCGACTTGGAATGGAAGTAAGACTATGCCCACGCCCATGGTCATTACCATCGTCAATTTTTGAATCACAACCCTCACTGAGATGACATGGGACATTGCATGTAAAGACATCTCGTACCATGAGGTATAACCTACATATTATCATATTAGTTAGTTAAAATATTGATATTAACATAAAACTTTGATATACTCGATAAACAAGTTAAAATATTTTTATTTTATAATGAATAAATAATTTCATAATTAAATTAAAGTATGCACACACACACACATATACATTTATATGTTACCTTAGTAATTTTAAGTAAACTCGTGAAGGACAATCAAACCTTATCGGTAATCACTATTCTAGTCATCATTGCTATAGTCTTCTTCTAAGTATTTCTCAACACTTGTTTCAAATTTAACATCATTCTCTTCATTAATTTCACCCCCTTTTAAATCTATTAATGATCTAGTTGAATCGCTTAACGATTGACCCTTATCGTCATCTACTTAGATGACATTGTGTTGGGCTTCCATTTCATCTTCTTAAAATAGTTCCATAATTATTTGGATTGTAACAAATGGTTCCGGCACATCCATTTTCGACTAGGGTTTTACCTTACATACGACCAACCAATCATGCTCGATGTGCTTTACTATAAGATGTGTTGCATAATACACCAATGCATTTATATTGCTAGGATAAAGGGATTGGATCCGTTCAACTTCCTATGATTATTTACTTCTACTAGTCCATACTTATCATAAACTCTTGTACCAATACCGGATGTAGTATCATATCAATCACGTTTGAATAATATGATTTTCTTGATTGATAATGCGGGATACTCAAGTTCTAGTATATCAATCAACCTACCTTAGTAGTTATTTTCCTTCACACTCGTAGCTAACTCCTTTTACTCACACTCCACTACATATTGTTGCTTTATCCAAACCATGACCTTTTGAGTGAAACTTATATCCCTTCACAATGTATTTTAGATATGACTTAGCTATTCGCAATAGCCGTTTTGCAAGATCTTTAATGTAATAGTCAATTATCATGTTGGGTTATGCTTTACTTACTCGTAAAGTTCGGATCCGTTACTTACTATTAGTATTAAATTTCATAATTCCATCTTCATAACAAAACAAATTCAAAATTTATGATACTTACATATCGAAGAAACCATGATGCAAAATCAATTTCAAGTCGAGCATCAACCTCGTGTTTCGATATGTCGGGATTACTTTGATAAAGTTGACTCACAAAATATCTATGGAAGGAAAAAAATTATAAGATTTTTAATGTTTTTAATATAAATAATTGATAATTAATGAAGTTCAATGTTGAAAATTTTATTAATTTTAGCATTTAGTGTAAGTGTCACCTCATCACGGTTCAATAAAATTTAGCTATGATATGTAAGCTTTTTTTCATCTATCAACACATATGATTTTGCTCGATCAAGAGATTGACCTTTCGGTTTGAATATAGCAAGCATCCTTTTAATGTTGTCACTAGGTTCTCGAGCACGCTAAAAGTTACATGACACTTTTTGATGCCTAGTTTACACATGAGGCTCAAAGTAATATGAGCAAAACGTTGACATTTTTTCAACTAAATATGCATTACATATTGACCTTTCAACTTTGGCTTTGTTCTTTACATTGTTGTTT